CATATAGTAGTTACTAATCAGTTTGAAAAGAATCAAATATTACAAAATCTAAGCATAAATAAAATAAATATGCACAGATTGATGAAAACTAATCCTTTTTCAATGCCCACTTTTCTTTTACCGAACGAGATAAATCTCATTTTCGAAATAGAAAGGTGTTTAACACTGACTGACTGGTTTCAACGAAGAACTTTGCACAGATGTGCAGCAGTTCCAGTTGCCACGCACCATCTCTCTCCTTGTAGCACACAAAGCAAGATAAGAGATCGAAAAAGACATTCAAAAGAGAGATAATAAATAGAAGTATCAGTGAGGGAAAAAGAATAGTAATATGGAAGCACAGTAGATTTTTATTGGATATGATAAATAAACCACAAAGAGTAAATGCATCTGCACTGTGCATTCAGAACGAGGATTTCGAGCCATATCACCAATTGTCTCTAGCCTTCATTGGTTTTTACCATCCCGAGGAACCCAACTAGTCAGGAAGTATGCACCTTTCTACGTGGCTTAAATTAGCTAGTATGGATTTCATTGACTGGTGAAGCCATGTTTTGGTTTGACCACCATTGGCTAGCTGTTTACCAACCTGATCAATCCTATGTCAGCTAACATTGCCCGTCGGTCGAGGAAGGAGATGGCTAGGCATGCGTAACACATGTCCTAACCATCTCAATCGGTGTAACTTCACAATCTCATCGACTGATTTCCTCTCATCACCTAGCACTCGAAGGAGGCCTAATCTCAATATTGCTCACTCTATTATACCACTTCGCATGGGAGATAGGACGCAGACACCTATGATCAAAGACAGCTAGCCGTTTTCTTTCTTCCACTTCCAATAGCCTTGTCTCACAGCCATAAAAGAGGACGGAGCGAACTGTGCTGCTGAGGATTACACACGGCGTCCAGTCGACAGCCAGCCGGATATCACGTCTGCTAGACCAGAGGTGACGTAAGTTGGCATTTGCGAAACGAGCCGTCTGTATCCGTATCCGTGCTGAGATTTCGCCAGCGATCAACTCACTGGCGTTGGCTGATGCAACTTCCCAAACAAGTCAAGTGGTCAACATGCTCCACAAACCACTTCACTCCCTATTTCTAAACTAGGAGTCAGTGTAGTCCAGTCAGTCCTGTAGCATCATCTTACATTTGACAGCACGAGTGAATCTCGCATGCCAAACATTCGCAGATTGCAGATCCTCAAGGTGTTCAGAAGGCTCTGCATTTTGTCAGTGTCTTCACCTACGAGGAGGAGGAGGACTATATCATCTGAATATTCCAAGTCAATGAGATTATTCCTTCCCTGGTAACAACAAGTCGATCCCTGAGTCTCTGATTTCTTTTAGTTAATAATTTGTATCCAGTGGTTACATCTCTTCAATGCCAATCTATCTAACAAATATAACCAACCATATATCCTACTTAAAGTAGATAGAGTAGAAATACCTCAAAATACTTAAATGTTATGATACTACGACATGCTAACTTACACTTCCCAGTCTGTTACAGCTGTATAGTCTTCAAACGTTTCTCCACTTCTTTCCTACGAAAAAGGACAGTGAATATTTTAGATGAAACATTTCAGGCTTTAAAATAAGAAGTTCAGTGTATTGTCTTTATTTGAAAATTTACCATCAATGAAAACTTACTGTAAATGTACATTTACTCATCGATTCAGTCATATTCTCATCTCTGTTTGTTTTTCACAGATAAATTCTGTAAGTAAAAAAAGAATTGAAAAACTCGATTAAACACAAGTTACTAATGGATGTAACAGACATGTAACAGTATTAAAGTGCTTTACAATGCATAAACGACTTCTATCCTACAGGTTATCTGTAACACAAAGCAAAATGAGGGGAGACTAAAAATTTAAAAAATATTCTTGATTTCAGTTTCACAGCTCTTTTGAGGCAGTTTTGTTTTAAAAAGGAGGAGGTTATGGAAACGGGTCAAGTTGACTGGGCCTTCTCTGTATATCAAACCACTTTCGTGAAATGTGTGATGACACCCAACGTTGAAAGACAAGGAATGAGCTATGCTAAGGTGGAACACCAATCCAATCGTTGTTAAAAGTGTGACTGTGTGTTTCACAATTCACGCAACATTACTACAATCCTAATAGTGTTGTTGTACATGAGTGATTGTAAGCTTACAGTGACACGTCATGACAAAATAAATCATTATGGCACCACTATACTTCCATTGTTCTCAATATTTTCTAAATGTATCATGTATCCGTTTCTTATTCTCATCATATTATTCGCTTAACGTACTTTTAGCTGTTATTTCTTCGGCGGACTTTAATGCCGAGGTGACCGCGGTTTCATTTTACCTTCAGTCATCAATCATCAGATCAGTGCGAATCGGTCAGTCCACGGTCATGTAAGATAGTCTCACTAGCAAACACACAAAACACTGATCACTTCAAAAACGATCAATATTTCGATTTGACACACTTGATAGTCTCACTATAGAGGAAAATCAACCCCGTGTGTAATTATTTTAGGCTGTAGTCAGAGAAATAAAAAGTACTTCTAAAGAACAAATAAGCGGATACCTATGGGACAACAGCTGCTTGCCTTACAAAGCAACTTCTCTATTAGTTATAAACACGTTGACATCGTAACGAATAATTGACACGATATGTTTCGCATTGTTTACTACATCACTGAATGCTGTCAGTGCAACTACTTTTAGTGAGGCTTTCATCTACTTGTATCTACTGTTGTGCCTACGGAATCTTGAAAAATACCTCAGGTTTTAAAAGGTGTGAGGACCTCTCGACAGTGAAGTAACTCAATGGATTTCTGCGTTACTCTCTCAGATTTGGTGAACCCAAAATTTAAAATAATGAATTGGTAGAAGTCAAAATTCATGGGTCGTTGGATCGGGTCCCAGTGGCTTAATGGTCTACGAACTCGCCTTGAAACCAGAAGGTCCTGAGTTCGGTCCTATGGTGAATGCGTACTGATGAAGAGTCCCAATCTAGGACAATGGAACAGGACAGCTATCCAGTACTCCAAGGTTTCCCAATGGTTCCCTAAATGATATCAGCTGATCAATAAATCCTCTAGCCAATCAAAAAAACAGAATAAGTTTCTCACTGCCATAGGATTGCAACGAAAATGAGTTTGATTGTGATGCACAAACAGACGATACCCAAATACAACCACTCTTTATCCCAAGACACCACGTCACGTCATGGACAGATCATCTCTCCGCTTTTCGCAACCAATTATAGGGCTACAAAATGTTACGTAAGCCGTTGTGATGGCAGTTGTAAGATATATCTAAGCCAATGAAGTCGGAAGCCCTAGGTGAGATTACTTAAAGTAAGGAGGCCTCTACCTCAAGGTTATTCACTTGGCGTCGCCATCTTACAGGCGCGGATAGTAAGACATGAGTAGTTACTGCACAACCTTAGGCCGGATTGAACAGGTTTTACAATAAGAGAAAATAAGAGTATGTTGTGAGACGCTTTGTAGACCAAGTCCACCTAATATGCTTTGTGTACGACTCCCACAATAATGACAACCTTCTCAGGAACACTCAACTCTGCCAAACAGTTCTAAAGAGAAGTCTTGTGTAAAGAATAAAAGCTAACCCTTGTATCAAGAAATAATGATTGTCCCTGCGCTCGAAATGTGATAATATTCAAATAATCAGTGGACTTACGGTCGAAACACCCATGGACCAAACGAAACCCAGTCTATTATTTGTGAACCAGCTTTACATGTATTTCGCAAAGTATGTGAAGTAAATCGGCAGTCAGTATTCCGGCTAAACTGCTAACAGACCAATAATCTAATTAATGTCAGATGCATTACACAGCCCACTTCGAATATAAGCACAACGATTTCATTTTACATTTATCAATCTCCCAACCATAGCTTCTTAAGCAATACTGTCAGTTTAGCTGCCAATCTAGCCAGCATCTTTAAAAATAGTTCAAACAGGTACTATATGATACCTGAGTACTGACAGGTCTTTTCCGATATCCGCTTCATTGCATGTTAGAACTGTAGTCTAGATTGGATTTTTTATAAACAATGCACAGTGGCATTTAATATGTCAGGGCTGATGACTTCATTCAACTGTTCACGCAAAAGAAGGTGAGGTGGAACTGGGATCCACTGGTTCAACGTGCCTAGATCGATAACCAACACCCGCCTTATATAACAAGCAATCTTTTTTGAGTTGTCACGAGAGATCTGATTGTTTCCCTATGTGGATTAACTTATCTGCTGCTTGTGATTCGTAGGCAGTGACCAAGTTGTTAACTAACTGCAGGCAGATGAATATGTCAGAGAATATTGATCGCAACATCCCGCTGTAGTACCATAACATTTCATCACTTTTTTCTGCACCGATCACGGGAGGTTGGTCAGTTTTCTAAAAGACAACAGAACTACATTGTGACGCCTAAGACAGAGTCAGCAAATAGGTGATTTCCTGTTGTCTTCGAGGACTGGGACAGCCATTCCCTTCCGGAATATAATCTGGCGAAATTATGATAATAATAATTTGCTTTATTCCAGAAACAGTACCAGTGATAAAGTGTGGAATTTTCAGCACAATATCTACAATATTTGCATCTAATGTTACAAACATTTAAAAGGAGTATTTAACAAAAAAAATAAATAAATCTAAAGACACCAACAGCAAAAAAAAACAGGATAAACACAAAAATAATTATAAATGCTGAAAAGTACCAAGAAGTAGAAAGGAAAATAAACATCATATAATAATAACTCAGTATTGGGTAGTGGAAGCTATGATATGATTATGCATGGTGACAGTAAAGCTATACAAAGTGATGATAAGTTGTGTAGAAATTTCATCCGCGAATCAGTTTTGTAAGATCGGATATTACTGGAGCAAATACCATCACCGTCACGGTTTTACTCTTGTGATATGTTGCATGACTCTATCTATCTACCTATCTATATATTTATGTGCCTGTATATATAAGCTAAAGGTTACACACATAAACCATGCATAAATCTGGTGTAACAATGAAATCATCACATCAGTCCCTATCGTTGGCATCATCACCGTCGTCGGCATCTCCATCAGCATCAAATATGTCTAGACGGAGTGATCGTTTACTGCCTATTCATCCGAATAATTTGAACAAAGTGATACGCGGGGAATGGGAGTCAATTTCACAATGGTTATGCGATGTCCTGTCATCTGGTGATGTTCTGTGTGTGTGTGTGAAATTAGTCCAGTATTCAGTTCAATTCAAAGATTTATTGACGTTTTTGGAATGCGTCTATCTATCTAAAAGGCATCGAGTGGCTTCGATTCGTTCAGTTGTAGCGTATATCTGATGTCCAAATATTGATACGCAAGCTAGTTAGTAACAGTGCAATGGAATTATTAAAGAAACTAATGAGTAAACCATACTCATCTGCTATGTCTATTGACTGGAAAATGTTTTTCGATATTTGTACATGGGCTGAAGAAAAGTTGGAAACATCATATCAAGTTGTTAAATGGCCTAAGTCACGAATTGATAAACTGTATCATTCCAATATCGCTTTATGTTCAAAATTCTCTCCGAAGACGTCAATTGAAGAAATATGGTTAACATTTCGTCACAGTATTTGTAGTGATTTGATTACTGGGTCGCCTTGTACGCTATTGCATAAATTCTTGATTTATACACCATTCTATCCTAAATATTTTGATGATGAGATTAGTCGTGTCTGGCTACCAGACATATTCGGTATATGGCATATCCAACCAAGTTGTAGATCCCATCATGAAATTGAAATTATTATTGAAATATTATGCAAAGTTTCACATATTGGTCGTGGTCGTATCGATTGGGAACCGCATATGGAGCGTATATTCACTGCAGTGTTTCGAGGCATTACGCTTAGAAATACACCATTGTCTTCTAGAGAATTAATGGACAGTGATCAAATACAGCTGTATGCAGAATTAATTAATAATGAATACTATTGGTCCAGATAGACCAGAGTGTCAATCCACTGTGATTTATCGTTTAGAACAGTTGTTAAAGTCACTTGAATCCTTCTATCATCCATCATCGAATCAAATTGATTCAGCAAAACTGCAGTTGGCATGGTTTATATGGAAGTTTTTACGCTGCTTAATTAGTCGTTTACGTGATGAATTATTCCCTCCAGTTGAAGCATTAGACTTAGGCTATACACCACCAGAATTCCACCAGAATCTCTCAGTGGAACAAGTTGATCAAATTGTCAATCTATTCACACCGATTTGTCTAAATCATTTTCTTTATTCAAAATCAATTACAATTGTTAATATAGCTTTGAAAATTATTCCAATGTTGTGTAAATTACGACCAAGCCTAGTGTTACCAAATCTTCTCAACGATCCTGAATTTGGTTTAACCAGACCAGAAATGCCATTACGTAATGGCATAATGGTAAGCTTCCTCAACCAATGACTAGCATGCGTTCAGGGTCATTGGAACATTTGCAATCCTGGGACTCTATTCTTGTTCTAAAATAACGCTGGTCGATCGTGCTTAGAAAGAGAGCTAGGTGCTGAATTAAGTCTTTTTGTTTTGAAGTAACACTTTTGTGCTTGATACGTCCTGTGAGGGCTGGAACAGCGCTGACAAGCAAACCCAGAAGGTTCTGATCTACTCCGGAAAATGTCTAGAAAAAACGCGGTGCTGCATTAGTACCAGTGATACTGAAAACCAGCAGAGTCTTAGTCTGTGCCCTTAAAGAATCTATTTCAGAACAGGTTCAGAATTTACTCACTGTAGAATGTTAGAATTATTCAATTCAGTATTATTGTGAGCTTGGGTTATAGTACATGCATAATTTATAATACAACTATTCGCATTCATACAAATGAATAATAGGGAAATCGAAAAAGCTGAGTGAGATAAGTTGGAATTCTTAAAATACTGAAAATAACAAACTTAGCGATATGTGACGAATGACCTTGAGTACCGCATGTATTAAATAATTCTACTTTCACGATCCAATGTCCTTCTACGAGCAGATGTGAACTACATTTATTTCTTTCAAGATATTTCCTGGTAGCGACATAAAACTTCGTCTTCTTGCGTTCATTCGTCAACTGTCGCTTTGGTAGATCCTTCAGAGAGTGGTATGCAGGCATGGTGTTTGCGATTTGAGTTCAGTATTTTGTTAAGACTGTGGCTGTGTTCTGACCGTAGTTAGTCCTTTCGCCTGTTAGTCATCCAGCGAGGTCAAAAAGTGACGTAGTAACAACAAAAACCGTATGACTTATCTCTGACATCTAAACTTCAGACGGGAAGGAACTGACAATTTTATTATTTAGAACAATTACTGAGTAATAAAGTACTGAATAGGCGGGTTAGGCAAGAGAGTGGCTCAGGAAGCACTGAGTTGACGTCAATAAACAGTCCAGTATGGACCTATCAATAGAGAGCTGTATATGAGTGTTGCTTATCAGCTTCCAGTGAACAGTCCATTTGTTCAGCGTCTTCCTATCACGGCATGGTTAGCTAACCCCCATGTAAAGCTTTGTACTGGAGCTGAAGTAGCCTCGGTTGCTCAAATGCGTTAGACTCGAAGTGAAAGGAAATGCGCTAAGGGATTCTGTGACTTCGCATGTGGTATCTTCATTGGGTTGCGAAGAAATCCGTAATGACTTACTGACGGAAAATATTTGTCTGCGCGAATTCGGCAACTTGTAATGTTGTAAGATCCGATCAGGTCATTCCCACGACCTCACCCCACAGTTATTCCTCCTTCGGAATCTTACTAAGTGTTGGCATCACTTTGAAGCAACGAGTGAACGATGACATTATGCACGTCAAGGGACGGTGGAATATAACTTTTCCACAGTTATGGGAGCACCTAACTGCCTATAAGTGAACTGTAAATCCACACAAACTTTAGCCAGTTTATTCAAGCAATTCACACGTGTTTATACCCATTTGTAAAGGGTGACCAGCTATCCATTAACTCCTAGTCGAAAAAACTCAGAAGTGAGAGGTTATTTCCTCTAGAAGTGGTCTCTGATACATAATGATTGTGTGGAAGGGATGATTCCTCTTGTCTTTGTAGTTCCTGTAAGATGTCTTCTGAGGAAGAGGATATAGGTCGAGAACATTATCACCTCCTGAAATTTCGGATATTGTAATGATATCGCTTCTCGGGGTGCTAAATGATAAACAGAATACATATTGTCCTTCTCAGTATGCTGAATCGAAGATTAAAAATGTGGCAGTCGTTTTGGCTCTTTCCCACTAAGTGATTGATGATGAACATCACCATATGACACACCTCATTATTTAATTTCTTGGTGGTAGGATTATTTATTCTTCTAGAGGAAAAGATGCTTGGAAGCAGTTGAGTATGACATCAAGGATTCCGAAATTTTCTTTAACAGTGTTAAGGGGAGCTGCCTGAACTCTGTGCAAGCAGTAAAAACAGCCTTCTTGTTGTCCCTAGACTCAAACCAGATTTCTTTAGAGACGAGAAGATTTGTCAGACACCAGAGGAAAACCATCCTGATCGCTGGATAACACATGTTTGTTTCCCACACAATTCATGACAGCTTTCATGATAATTATTTTCAGTATCTTAATTCGAGTGTTGGCAAAACTGGCAGGTCTCAGGTTTGAAAGATGGTGCTTTGCACACCCTTTGTGAATAGGAGTTATTAATGCATTCTTCCATTCAAATGAACATCCCTCCTAGTTCACTGGCTTGCTAATTTTCTGCCCAGTGCCGAGCTCGGGTAAAGAGGGAGAGTTGGCCGTGGGGCTAGCGACCCTACACCACTAAACCTATCAAACTGCTAGAGAAACTTCAACGCACAGAAAATATAATAAAAATACAAAAGTTCAAATAACAATCTTATTATTTTCTATGATCGGAGAGGCGAAATGATACGGATGGCTGGTGAAAGACTTCGGGAAGCGTCTCAGCCAGCCGATGTGTCTTCTCTCAATGGAAGCAAGAATAAGAAAGGGGATATAGAATGTCCGTACAATGTACAAAGCTGGCTGGGAAGGCTACCCAGAGGCCAAAGAAATGGGAAGATATGGCATAGAAATATCGACCATCTGGCAGAGCAGATGGAATGGATGTGGACTGTCGAAACTATCAACTGGAGAGTCTGTAATCGACTCCAGTCTGGTCACCAAGACGACAACCACGATCACACTGAGGCAGTGAGTGGCTATCATGATGTCACCAGTTACAGCCAAAACTCGAATGCAGTGGAAATCAATATCATCCATGGTCATGACAGCAGGATTCAACTCAAAAGGAAGGAAGATTACAATCATTGGATGCTATGCACAATCCTACAAACAACGCTGAACGAGAGAAGAAGGAAGATTTCTATAGGCAACTACAAACAGCAATGGACGACATCACAAATGGACACATAAAAATTCTCATGGACGATATGGATGCAAGCCAAACTAGGACAGATAATACGGGAAGAGAACTGATCATAGGTCGACAGGCTCTCGGAGAAATGAATGAGAGCGGAAAATGCTTAGCGGACCTTTGTTTTTCAACGATCTAGTCACTAAGGGTAGCGTTTGCAAACACCAGGATACACACAAAGCGACGTGGATTTCTCATGACGGGCATACCACAAACCAGATTGATTTCATCTCAATCTCAAAGAAGTGGAGTCGCAGCCTACTGCATACAAAATCGAGAAGGGGAGCAGATGTTACCTCCAACCACCATTTAGTTCAAGAAACCTTCAAGGTGAAGCTGAAATCGCTCAAAACAAATTTTTATTTTATTTTTTATTACAGCTTGATTCCACACGTACTTTTTTGGTACAGGTATGGAATTTTCAGCATATGATATCGGTAGCCCAAATTTTGCGGGCCGACCATAGATATCAGGTGTGCGTCGGCAGGGGATCGACACCCGACCATGAGCATGGTCGGCGAGAGTCCTAACCACTGTGCCACCGACGCACATAGAGACAAGCCAATGAAACTCAAGTTAGACATTCATAAATTGGAGGACAAAACCACAAGAGATGCATTCGCTGCAGATATCAGAGCCAAGTCGGAGATACTACGTGGCATCACTAAGGAAACCTGCGCGGGGGAGCATTGAAACTAACTGTCTGAAGGTGATGTTGAGGAAACCAATAAAAGATGCTAAATGGAACCTGGTTACCAAGGAGTAGAAACAAATAAATCAATGGGCTGATCGCTTTAAAGGACTCTCGAATCGACCATGACCTGCAACTCGGCCAGAAATACCACCAACAGCACGAACCGAACTGCATGTTAGTGGACAAAAATCCTTCAAGAAAGTAGGAATCTTGAATGAGATCTAGCTAGTAAGCACTTGCAGGGAAGGCAGTAGGACCAGACTACATTACACAATGCATTGATAATGGGCATTCAGTTACAACATGCTTTCTCGACGTTAGCAAAGCCTTCGATAAGGTCCCAAATATCAGACTCCTAAGAAAACTCCAGCCCTACAGAATAACTGAAAAGCTTCTCAAATGGATAAACTCCTTTCTCACAGACATGGAGCAGTTAGTCAAAACCAACGACCAGCTGTCTTCACCAAAGCCGATAACTAGTGGTGTAATACAAGGAAGCGTTCTTGGCCCTATCCTACTCCTCTTATTCATACATGACATAGCCTCTGTGATCAAGTATGGTAAGCCATACCCGTTTGCAGATGACCTCAAGATAGTATACGATTATGGGTACGATGATATGAGCGTCGAAAGCAAGATCCAACATGACTTAAACAATCTGGGCGATTGGAGTGAAAAGTGGCAACTGACTTTCAACCCAGGCGAGCGCGATATAGCACACCTTGGACGGTGGAAACCAAGAATGATCTTACATATGTACATTAAGCTCCTCTCAAAACCGAACACAGTCACAGGTCTCGGGATATCATACTCAGATTTGACCTTCTCCGATGATGCAAATAAGGTTGTATCTGACTGTAAACGACTTAATGGCTTTGTACTGCGTAACTTTTACACCCAAGAAGCAAGATTAGCTATATATAGAACATGTATCCGCCCCAAACTTGAATATTTTTTGTAGCCTAAGGTCTGCAGACCGAAAAAAGTCGAAAGTGTCCAGAGATTCCTCATGAAACACATAATAGGATTTGACCAACAAGTGAACGATGTTGACAGGTGTATACGACTGAAATTAGAACCTCTGTGGTTAAGGAGAGTGAAGTGCAACTTATTTCTTATTCTTCAAATTTATTAGGAAACATTGTTACAGTAACTCATCCATAACGTGAGCAAATATCAAATGATATCAGCTGCGAAACCACGACTACCCTCTCAAGGTGGCTACCCACAGGAAATCCATTAGGGCAAACATTTTCACCATTAAATATTGCACTCTTCGGAACTAACTACCATCTGAAATTAGATGTTGTGGAAACCCCAATGGGTTCAAACGGGGCCTAGAAAGACACATTAACATGTCCACTCTGGCTCGTCTAAAAGACCAAAGCTGAGGGTAGAGTGGTAAATGAAAGCCAGTCCAGTACGCAGTGAAGTCACTTATGTATAGCTCGACTCTACTACTTACTCAGCGAACGTTTAACTAATTTACTGATTTTCTATTCTCTATAATCTTCAATAAGTTGTCTTAGTATAAGTAACTCCAGAAACACGTAGTTTCAGGTCATTATGGGCAATTCGTAGAGCCTTCACTAGAAACACCAGAGATATGTTCACCTCCTTACATACATCTCTGGTGAGCTCAAGACTGGAAAACTGCATCCAGGCCGCCAGCCCTTGTCTAAAAGAGGACTCACACATTCTAGAAAGGGTTCAAAGGAAGGCAACACGTATGGTTCTCGGAGTGACTAATTTATCATACGAGGAAAGACTAGACAGTTTAAATCTCTTCTCCTTGTCATACCGTAGGCAGAGACGAGATTTAATCACAATGTTTAAAATTTCAAATAATCACTACGGACCTGACCTATTCTCTCTTTTGCTTCCCACCAGGTCGGAACACCTTAGAGGACATGGCAGGAGAGTTGAAAAGCCAAGAAGAAATCATATTGCTGTTGAGTACTGGTTCTCACACCGAGTCATAAACTCTTGGAACCGACTCCCAGAAGAAGTGGTGTCTGCAGACTCAAGTGATTCGTTCAAGAAGGGTTTGGACAGCCACAGAAATTTACTAGAAAAGGTTTAACAGAGGCTCCAAGCCTTCTATCCTCAACCAATAAATCTGAATCTGATTAGCAACCACACCATTTAATATTTTACACATATTTACAGTTAATAATACAATGCTATTTTTTGTGTCGAAATGACTTTACTCATTTAATAACTACCTTTCCTTACATACTTTTCTAAAATGTATAATTTGATAACATTTCACAACATTTTTTCCATAACATAAGTTGATGGGTTGCTCTGCAATGTCTGAGGTACACCATATGAAAATTGGTCATGACAATTTAGCATAACTAGTTCTGTTAACCAGCTGTTTTCTTCAAGACCATTCTATATAATTTTATCACTAATTGTTCCACTACACATTTCACTCTGCTAAACAGACTATAACTTAGTTGCTG